TTGCCATTGTGACTGCGATGTACTGTTAGTGCACTTGACTTACTATTTTGGAATATGGCTGTTACTATAACATGTGCCTGAAAAGAATAAGTACACTTCAAGATGCCCCACTGCACACTGCGGTGGAACTATCATGTCTGGTCTGTAACCACAGAAGCTCGTCAGTACTGGAACTAGAACTACCTCAACTCTTGTTCTTTCGCCCCCCCCCCCCCGATTCCAATATAGTGGACCCTTGCTGCATCTTCTGGTACATGCTTACGGTGGTGTAACTCAGCCACGCTCTGTCCGTATGCAGCTCGGCTGCAAGCCAAGCATGACCATTTTCCTCGGCTCAGCTACATTTCACACACATCAGTTTGGATGTCAGGAAGCTATAAAAACAGCTGGGAAAAAAAGACGGCAAGTCAACAACAGTTGCCGCGATAGGCCAGGCCGTCACCACGAAATGTATGACGGCGGAACGTATGAAGACCATGACGAAGTCTACGTCGATGTCGCCCACCAAAAGCCGTGATGGTGATCAAGATAAAGAATGTAATTTCCACGATGCTGCTGGTGACGATAGAGGTGATGATGAACCGGACAATCTTGATGCCAACGATAGCGATGAGATAATCATGATAGAGTCTGATAGAGTGTGCCATGTTCATGGCAGTGAGAGCAAACATGGCCAGACGGATGATAATTATTTGTCGTTGCATTTCTGTAGCATCGTGCTTCATCGCAATGCGGAAACAGCCGCAAAAATCAGAAAGTTTGGCTTGTTCACATACGTCTGACTTTGTCCACATGCCGTGTCACCACCAACTATGACGAAAACTTCAACCAAAACAATTACCTGCTGCAACTAGTCCAGCCTTACCTGGGCTGTACACTGCCCACTGCTGTTACTACTTTTGCCACCACCTCTACCAACAGCTGCCATGACGAAGATGTCCCGCGACTTTGCCACGAGTACTACGTTCCACTACTTCCATTGCCACCCAAGCCTCTGTCGGAACGGCTTCCGCACATAAATCGGGGAGTCAGGCATTCTGATCGCCTAAATCTGCGAGAGCTTTGCACAAGTCTCACGGAGCTTGTCGAACTCTCCTACGAGAACCTGCAACGCGTGTTCGTCACGCAAGCCCTCACTCAACCAAGCTCACAGGTTTCCACGCTGCATCCACATCATTAAACCCTACATAACGCCTAAACGGCTTTAAACGCCGCAAACCCTGGCAGCTTCCCCAAACTTCCTCGAAGAGCGGCTTTGCGGACGAGCTCACAAAGGGCCAAGATGTAGAGGATGGTAAAGTAGGTGTGGCCGGAGTAGAGCATGTCCTAGGTAGGATTTAGGGGTTTTTTGGCAGTTTTTGGTTTAGGGTTTAGGGCAACTTATGCCGAAAAGCTCGGTATGCGTGGGAACACAGCTCTTTCCAATGCACCGAGCAAGTGCTGACCGCCCATGCCAGCCAAGCCACTGCGCAAAAGCGCATGCCAGCTCCAATCCTAGCAATCATATCGCGGCTTCCTTTTATCCACTGAAGCAGGTTAACAGGCTGAGGCTGGAACCGATTCTGTTCAGGACCCGCCAGCTCAACTCCAAGAATTGCCATGAAAGTCGTCCACCTTCAAAAGAATCAAAAGTTTACGTGCTTTGGAAATCAGGCGGAGGCCTGAGAAGGGGGGGCGAGTTCTTTGAACCTGTCGTCGAACTTAGAAACGACATGACAAGTTGAGTCGTCTCGTGGTCGTGCCCGTGGTGCTCGCCCTCCTCGTCATGTCCATCATTGTTCTTGGGCCACGGGTCATGGTCTTGCTTGTAGTCGTCGTCGTAGTGACGACGGGTTGGCGGTGGTGATGATGCCAACAGCAACCCTGAAGGGGGGCGGGGTCGGTGAAATCGAGGTAGCCCAAGCCCCAAGCCCAAAGCCCAAGCCCCGAAGCCCCAGACCCTGGCTCTTAAAAACGGTTGAAACTCAATCTCAGCCCCCCTAGCACGGGATCAAGAACTGAGCTCGAGCCCCGCACGTGCCGTGTATGCTAGGATCCGGCACCTCGGATCGAGGTTGCTTGCTTGTTCCAGGTGTTTTGTGGTGGGTCTGGGGTTTAGGATTTAAGTTGTTCAAGGCAGCTCTATTCTAATTTTTGGGAGATCGTTAAAATTTCGGTCTAAGGACTCAGGTTTCGGAATGTAGTCCAAAGCCTTCCTCTAAAGCCTCATAACAACCCTTCAGGCAAATTCTCCAACAGTTCGAGGAAGCCTGGGCCCCCGGACCCGATTCTTGAAGAAGTCCACGCCAGACGGGCCCAGACGTGCCTGCCAGGGTTTGACATTTTTTGTTCAGCTCGTTTTCTGCAAAGCACCGTAGAAGGATTTGGGTTTAGGGTCAGTTTCTTCAATGCACCGGACATTTGGAGCAGAGGTGGAAGGTGTAGGAAGGTGTAGGCTTGGGCTCGTTCCGGAGTACAGGTTTTAATGCGCAGTGTGCAGTGGTGTCAAGGCTCTGGCCTGCCTTGCAGTTCGCCCATCCAATGCTATCAGGCATAATGGTGACCACGCCAAAGACGCCTTTGCCGATTGCCAGAACCTAGGGTGGCTTCCGCGTTCAGATCTGCGGGGTTTACATACGGCTTATGGGCTGCCTGCCGTATAGGGTTTCGGACTGCAGAGGCCTTCATCTTGGACCGGCAACTGCAAAAGCAATTCAGATTATCCGCGGGATGCTTCCAAGTGGCGGAGTGGCTCAGGAGGACCTTCGTCCACTGCTGCACATCCCGCAAGTACACAACCTGCTAGATCACACCGGGAAGGGAAGATGGGATTATAAACCGAAAAACCATCCGGCCCTAAACCATAGACCCGAAACCCCAAGCCCTGCCCTAAACCCTTAACCGTAGCACAAGGAACGAACCAATATGAAGGTGAGGGGCCAGAAAGTGAGGAGCATGCGGATGAAGAGCGGAGAGAAAACAGCCCTGCATGACGCTAAATACTCAGCCGAAACCCCCAAATAAAAACAAAACCGAAACTCCAAAGCATAAAGCCTAAACCCATGAAACTGAACTCTAAATCCTCAAATGATAAGCCCTAAATCCCCTGAAACTCAAGTTACAGAGGCTGCGACTGTGAGGAACCACAGGAAGGGGAAGAGCAAAGCAATCCCATCCAGGACCTGCATTGGGTTTGTTTAAGGCCTTTAGGATGTGGGACGTCGGGCTTTTTCAGGGCTTGATGGGCGGACGCTATAGAAGTCTCTCTGGGCTCTGAACTTCTATGTGATGGGTGTCTGAGGGCTTTGCTGTTTCGGCTTCGGTCTTATGATATGGGTTCGTTGGATTTCTTGGATTTCGGGCTTCAGGCATGAAGCTGCGGGATCGAAGATTGCAGGATTTTGGGTGGGGGCTTAGGGATCCGGATATCGGGCTTAGGAGCTTTAGGTTAAGAGTCAAAGGATGACAACTTACAAGACCTTTCAGGCCTTCTGGGCCTGGAATGCTGCGACGAAGTCACCTTAGAGGCCCTAGACCCTGGAGAGACCCAAGGCCCCTAGTTTAGGATGTAATATTATAACATTCATTACAGGGTATGATGATATATGTTATAGTATAAGTTACAGCACATCATATACTATAACAGATCCTGCAGTACATTATGATATAGTTTAACAGAGCAGGGCGGAAGGAGCCGGGCCTTCAGCGGCACGTGCTGGTAGCCCAGCCGCCTCAGCACACGAAACACTGCATGCACGCGGGCTTCTAAGCACAAAGGCCCCAAGTCTTCAAGTTCCTCGACGGTAAGATCCTGAATATAAGCACCTCTAAACTCACCTCCTAAGGCGCTGGCGCAGACAGGGGGTCCTGGGAGAAGGATAGGGCTTGAGGATAGGGCGTTGGGGTTTGGGCTTCGGGCTTTTAGGGATTTGGGGTTTAGGGCT